CTCAAATATCACTTGCGTAATTAACGTTTTAACTTGTTTTCGAACGCGTCCGAAAATAATTGCGAAAAAATTTTTAAAACTGACTACAATTTCCAAGACAACGTTTTTTGTTCATTTTATGAATGACTTCTTCCACACAGAAAGTTTGAAGGAAATCTGTAGTTTTAAGAAATTCGAGTGGTCGGTTTTTACACGGACTGCCTCTTAACAGTGAGAAAGTAATAATAATAATAATCATAATAATAATAATAATAACACTTTATGTATTGAGGATAAACAGATAAAGTTACAACTTTTTTCCAATCTGGTCCTCCTAAACTCTATAGACACAATTCAGTACTCCTAGGAGTATGAACAAATGAAATCATGGGTATAATGTAAAGTGTTAACCAGTACTACAATTCGGTTGGTTCATACCTCGAGAAAGCCCCAATTTACTAATTAGGCAATTTTCTAACTATGGTCTAAATTATATTTACAGTACAGTATAATAAGTCGAAATACGTTGATCAGGATGGGATTTTTTGTTTTAAAGATATATTACATTTCTTCTTCGAATGACCTAAATATTACACATACAAAAAAATGATATTTGGGGTTAGTCGTACTTTAAGATCTTGAGTAGAAGTCTATAATATAAAAAATATAAAATATTCACTGTCTTATTTCATAGGTTTGCTAGGCCCAGATCCTTCACGTCATGGTATACCAGAATACCGATCTCGAGGCTTGCTCCCTACCCCTGGCCCACCGCTTGACCCCACGCGCTTCCTAGGACTTCGGGGAAGGTTTCCACTACCAGGCGGTCCCCGTATGAGACATCCTATGCCCGGACAGAGAATACCTAGACCCATGGGTCGAGGTGGAATGCCGAATCGATTTCCTCTACCTAACCAAAATCAAGTAAGTTGATGAGATTTGTATTTGGTTGTTTTGGCAGGTGCCTCATGAGGTGGTTTTGGATGTGGAACATTTTTGCTTGTATTTTTCACTGACAGCTGAAAAATGTATCAACTGATACATGTCGGTGACGAACGACGAAACAGCAATGCGTAGCCATGGCAACTCGTCATGCTATGCTAACAAACCTGCATCAAAATACAGGTTAAAGACAATACATTTCTAAAGATTCATGAAAAATGTGCATAGCATGACCTGTTGCTATGACTAGCTTCGCTAGTAATGTGGAACTGACATCTCGCAAAATAACTATCATTTCTAAACTATTCTCCCTAGAGGTCCAGTTAGGGTCCTGTCATATAGTGAGGCGGATATGTGTAAAATTATTGATCAGTAGTTCCCGTTGAGGTTAAAAGCATCAAACTTTTACAATTGATGTAGTTTTATTTGCTTAATAGATATTTGAAGTGGGGCCATCGCTATTTTGCTGCTAACTCCTGAAAACGGGTGATTAGTGATTTTCTTCTATTGAATTCTATTATAGCCAAAACATGTGAAATTTTGTATTCAATTACAACAAATATGACTTGCATCATCAGAAAGCTTATAGGCAACTACCTAAAAATACAACAATGTAGTGCCAGGGAGTTCGCCACAGGTTCCCCCAATTACGGTGATCCCTTAATATTTACATAAAAAAATACGTTCAAATAATTGATTAACGAAACAGACAAAGTATAACAACACAAATGCAAAACGGCTAAACTGACAACAAAAAAAAAACAAAAAATAAAAAACTGCATATACGACATTTAGACAGTTTTTTGATTTCTGAAATAGTTTTCGAATTATAAACTGTTAAAAACGCATTTTCAAACATCGAATAATTAATTAGGGACTTTTAGCGAGATAATGTGCGTAATTTACAGCAATAACCATTTGAAGAATCAAAAAACTGTTTAAAAGTCTTTTATGTAGTTTTTTACAAGCTTTCTGATGATGCAAGTTATATTTGTCGCGATTGAATTCAAAATTTCACATTTTTTGTTGTAGTAAAATTTAATAGCAAATAATGCTAATAGCATCGTAACTCTCTAAAAAAAACAGTTTCACGATGGCCCCACTTTTGCATGTTGTTCTACTCATAAAAAGATGCTACTGTGCACAATTTGGTGCTTTTAACCCTCTTCGGAAACATCCATGCACATATCCGCCACACTAATACTTCCAGCGTTATAACAGGACAAAACCGGAATATTAGAGAAAACATGACATGTTTGTAGATATGATAAAACTATTCCCTCCGTGGCTTATTGTGTATTAATTGACCTCTCCCTAGGAGTCAGGCGACGAATACTACAGTAGTGACGGAGATGCTCCCAGTGGACCATTTCCAGGGCGTGGTCGGGGCTCCCGTCCTCGAGGTGGGCGTGGTCGAACCCTATGTAGACACTTCTTTACCCAGCGTGGCTGTATGCACGGGAATAATTGTACATTTATGCATCCGCGTGGCCCTCCAAACGGTCCGCCTGCATAGCAGAGATGCATGTGATCCACCTGTTCGACATACGTCTGATAGCCGCGAGCTACACGCCAGGAAGCTGCCAAATTATTCGGTACCAGCCTGTTCTCAGTACCGTTCAGCAGCTACATAGTCGTTTGGACTGGCTAGAAATGAGCGTCGTGTTGTTCAAGCCTTGTTAAATAAATGCGCTGTTAGCCTGCGCGACGTTTCGTTCGCAAAACTGCGAATTATGCTGTTGTACATTAGATGTAACCTGGTTGCCGCTGCTATTTGTGTAATGGGCTGGTTGTTCAAAAGCTGGTTAGCTGAACCCTAGGTTAACCTAAAATTCACAGGAAACTTCAAAACAGCTTGTTTGTAAACTTGAAATATTTCTTCAGAAATCTGGTGTGGACCGATGAGAGTTTAGTTTTCTGACGTTTTGAAACAAACACCGGATATGCAGAAATACATAAACTAAAACAGCAGATTCAATTTTAACCCAGGCTTAGCGTTAATCCTGCTTTGAACAACCGACCTCAGATCAGTATTTAGTGATAGTAGAGCGACATTGCCACTCTATTACATCCTACAATCGTCCACACAATATTTGACACAACCACCCCACCCCCTCTCCCCCATCTCAATGTTGTTTTGTGGTGTAAAATTGTTTTATTCAAATTCATGAATTAGATTTTGAATGCCAATACTCGCGTAAAAACGCACAAGTTGTAACAAACTTGCAGCAGACTTGTAGCAATGCTGTTCCAACAACTTGTCAACAGGATGTATTCGCACTGCTTGTTCCCAGCTTGTTGACATCTTGCTACAAGGTTGTCGAGCTCAACAGACTTGTCACAAATTGTTCCAAAAAAATTGTTATAGTCCTGCAATTCAACAATTTGTCAACAACAAATTGTTGAATAACAGCATTGTTACAACTTGTTGACAAACTTGCTACAAGCCTGTTGCGAACACATCTTGTTGACAAGTTAGGACACTTGTCCCATCACGTGATATTCCTGTGAGGAAGGTAATAGCATTTCAACATTGAAACATGAGGAATGGGCCGGAGTGGATTACAAATGTCTCTATGTAGTTTGTGGACGATCGTATGTGTCACCTTGACATTACTGCGAGGACCAAATTGAAACCAGGCTAATTTGAACAGTCTGTCAAGGATCATGTATACTTATTGTGGGGTCAGTGAACTTGTGCTTCATGAAACGTGTAAATTACTTAAATATAATGAAGTTATAAACTTCATATTGAAGGCTTTAATAATTTGAAACCGCGTTCAGGGGGAATTTTTTGAGAATTTTTTTATCGACAAATAATATATATTTATGTACATATCTCGAAGTGTTTGAATTGATTTTGAGACCGCGGCATTATCGGGAGTACGAACGTTCATTAACAAAGAAATGTTTGAGGGACTACTGACTCCGTGGGAAACAGTGGGTCAGTTTCCTCAAACATTTCTTACAAATCCTTTAAAACTTAGAATTGACCGATGCAAAATGCCCACATGTCGCAATACAGAAACTTTGATAGTGTAAACCATGAGATTTAAGCCTGGTTCACACTGATCGTAATTCATCGACGATCTATTGTATTATTTTCCGACAGAGAAAGCATTTTACACACCAATGACCACAGACAATAGAAATTCCCGATTCTTATGGCCAGTGTGAACCAGGCATTAAGTTCGCATTAAGGTTTCATAAGATTAGGATTATATTCTCACGAACGCCAAAATCCGCCATTTTGGGGGTACTGTCTGCCCTCGTAAAAGATTCTAGACAATTCAAGCAACGTGAAAAGCGACTTTTAAACATAACTGTAAATTTACCATTATATACAATACTAAAAAGTTGTATTTAGTGGTACTCCCACCAAAAATGGCGGAAAAATCCGCCTTGAGAAAGCCGCTATAATCGGCGTTGTCAATTTGGTACCCTGGACCAGGGGGTTTCCTATTTAGCTGTATGTAGCATTGTAGCCTGGGCTCTGGCTCGCCTGACGCCAGAAAACCTCTTGCACACAGGGTATCAATTTGGAAATTGAAACAAGAAGTTGAACGGTATGTGTGGTCCACACAAGAGTCCAAGGGTCTTGCTTGCTGTGATGAAATAGGTGCCCTTGTGTTAATTCTCCATTTATACGGATGTCTGTTAATTGTTGCAGTGTGCCAATATATAGAGTACCTTATACCCACTTACATGATAAACTGCGGTTTTTGCTTGATAGTTCCATAGCACACTGGGGTAGTCGTGACAATTATCGTACATGTAGTTTTTGTTTTATAGTTTTGAGTTCTTTGGCTATATATTAAATGAGTCGCCATAGATACGCGTGTGTACGAGGTGAGCCGAATAACCTCGTTGACAACGCCTATTAAGAGCTTAAGACGATGATATGTCATCGTGAGGAATTGTTTACCCACTAATCCCAGACAATCGAATTTTGCAATTTGTGGTTAGCTTATCTGTGTCACGCACACAGCGAGCAATTGTCAATTTATTTGCAATTTTTATTCAATAAAATAGTGCATTTTTCTGTAATCTAATAACTGAACGTAACTGAACCATGTAACTGAACCATGTTTTGTGATCAGCTGTTGTGAACAGGTGTGACTAGTTATATATGTTCTCCGATCCGAGATCGATTTGTCGTCTTCATAGCTGGCAGGATTGGACCCCAGAATAGACAAAAAAGTAAATTTCCGTAAAGAACTTATTAAAATTAGTAAAATTGCAAAATACGGAAAATATAGCCTTGCGAAGTTTGCCTATTTTGTATAAGTCAGTATTACGTGCGGAATTGTTACCATTTTTGAGCCGAAAATGGTAACAATTTCCACACCAGGCCTGTTTCCACACGTAATACAAACATATATAAAATTTGCAAACTTTGCAAGGCTATATTTTCCAAGCTTTACAACATTCCGCAACCAAATTTTGCAATTTTACTAATTTCATTATGTTCTTTTTAGCTGTATAGTGTTTGATTCTCTTCTCTTTACTTAGATTAAAATTTAGTCATGCAAGTTGTCCAAAATGTTCATGCTCAAATTGTCTATGCGGGAGCCGAAAGTACTGAAAATTTCACGATGTTGGGATTCAGGGCGGGAGTTCGGTGCGGTTTTGAAAATTTTGTCTTTGCCTAAAGCATTTGACTGGAATTTGCCGCTGTAGTGAAACAAATTCCAGTCAAATGTATAGGACTAATTTGACTAAATGTGTGGACTAATTTGGGCATGCATGAAGATTTTAATTCTGAGTTCCATTTTTGGCAAAGATCTTGTGTAGATAGTGAGATGAATAATTGATGATGTCCGAACTCAATTGTGTTTCATTCGGCTGTAATCAAACAATTACAAAACCGTTTCCTATGGATTCACGATGATCAGAATAATGAGGGTTTTCCCACAGTGTACTGAGACAGTATATAGTTACCTGAATAATTGCCTGTGAACCTGATAGTCTTTTAATGCAATTGCAATGCCTTCCATTTCTGTACGGTAGTGTATCTAGAAAGTGAAAAAGCGGTCAGTCCCAAAAGAGGAAAAAAATTCGCAATCCCTCAACAGTTTAATTAATAAGAGTATATGGTAATCTTAGCTATAGTGATATATTATACAAATAATGAATGTTTATGAGTGCAACGGTAAGAATATTTTCATGAGGTGAAAGATGGAATGTTCCATTCAACGAGGCGACAGCCGAGTTGAATGGAACATTCCATCTTTCACCGAATGAAAATATTCTTACCATTGCACGAAAAAGCATTCATTATTTGTTTTATATAATACCAAAATAGACTAATAGATTCGTATGAGAAGCATTTTGAGGGATGCGTTTTATCGAAAACACAAAGAGTGCAGTTGTACTATACGTTTTATTCCATTGCACTCGCAGAGAGTGCAATGGAACGTATTCCATTGCACTCTTGGGAAATGGAATTTTCTATTCAATATCACGTGACCATAAACAGCCAGTTAAACAATCAGAATTCAATAAGGTATTATATAATATAGACTATAGTATGGTACAGACTATAGTATGGTATGGTACAGACTATAGTATGGACAGACTATAGTATGGTATGATATGGTATGGTATGCGAGGTAATATTTCAAATCCGACTGAGGACTGGACTAGATTTCAGTTTGAGTTTGAGATGGTATGGTATGGTATGGTTGTTCCTTGTCTAGCCTGCGTAGCAGTCGCTTTATTTTATTGAAGGTTTTGAGGATTTTTGAATAAATGGCGGGTTAGAAAAAATGGGCGAAGGAAAAATAAAGCTTCTTCGCCCATTTTTTCTAACCCGCTATTTATTCAAAAATCCTCAAAACCTTCAATAAAATAAAGCGACTGCCACGCATGCAGTCCTTGTCTGACGTCACGCGTCCCCCAGCACTGAAACATTGTCCAGTCTTGGCTGTGACAGCATCAGCTCACATCGCGTGCAAAGTAAATGATAGCCGTCGCCTCAGTAGATTTTGATTTTGCAATCTGCATCAGTGGAAGTTTCTCGTAAACTGATTCACTCCTTGAAATTAAATTGGTCGTAAACGCCTCTTAATAAAAGCAGACGATACGGAAATCCGTATCTCCAACATGTAAATAAATAACATGATCCTATTTACACCCAAACGTTCATCACCATTTATGTTTATCACGCTGTACACATGATTCGAAATGTATAAATTCGTTTTGTTTTTGTACACCTCTGGGAAAAAGTGATGTTTTATCAATTCTTGCATATATTGCGTCGCCAGTTCAACCTAGCTTCATGAAACAGATTTCACGCTCTCTAAATAGAAATATTATTGAAGGAAATAGGATTACAATCCAGCCAGGGTGGAATCGCGTGACCGGAGGCAGCGCAGATATTTTTAGATCGTCTGTGACTTGCGCGCTCTTTTAAAATTCCCACTCTAAAAGCTGGGCAAACCCGATAGTGTAATGTGGCCAAAAGAGGAGCTTATTATAGTCATTGAAAGAGTGAAAGTGTTGAAAACCGAGGAACACATCGAGTTTTTTTAAAGTGCTTTGAAACCACTTCTTCAGTTAATGGTCATTTTCACATAATTGGCTTCCGCCAACGAATTAACTCAAATATACAGGATGTCTAAAGAAAGCTAGTGACCCGCCATAGAAGTCACCCTTTTGTTGCCTACTCAGGGACGCCGGAACGACGTGAAGGCAAGGGGGGCAGATTTTCGTGAAAGGGCACTTTTGAATTGATATATGACTAAGAGAAAACATCGAGAGTTGAACTTCGCCTAATCATGTTTTCTATTTATTGGATGATAGGGGTGTGAGGGGGTTCTCCGCCAGGCAATTGCACTATTCTTGAAGCTCGATGACTGCATTTCTTGCGTTTTCTGATGCAAATTCGTAAAAGAATTGCACTAACATTTCTGACAATTCGCTATTTTACCAAGGCAATCCTTTAAATTGAAAGGGCACCTTTGCCCCCCTTGCCCCTCCTGGTAAAGGGCAACGGGGGCGGCTGCCCCTCCTGCCCCCCAGTTCCGGCGTCCCTGTGCCTACTTTTGTTAGAAACAGCCAAACTTCATTACCTCTGGGAGTTTAGAATGCATTGTAATCGTACGAACATATTAAAACTGCATAAAAGTGTACATGGAAATTCTACTGAAATGAAAGTTAAAACGAGTTAGAAATTCGTCCCGTCAGTTCGATTAAAAATGGCTGTTCAACTGACTACAGAGCAAAGAGTTTTTACTGTCAGTTTTGACGCGCTGCGTTAAATTGATCAGCACAAAATCATATTCATATGTTGAACGATACCAAAAACTTTTAAACTGACTTCCCAGGCATAACATTCTATTCAATTGTGTTTACACACCGATGGGTTACAGGGTGAGTAAAAAAACTGATACCTTCGCGGCTAATTTGAATAACAAAGATGTCAGTTTTTTTACTCATCCTGTATAGGACTCATGCAGGCATTCAAATTTTTTAGACACCCTGAGGCTGCTCCATTTAAGTTACTGTTCGGTCACATGACTGTTCATTTAACTTACTGTTCGGTCACATGAATGGTCACATGACTGTTCTGACGGTCACGTGACTGTTCTGGCTGAACAGTCATGTGACCCTTTTCGGTTCGATTCAATTAGTGTTCCGAAAATCTGGAGTGCTCCGAACAGTAAATGGAGCAGCCTCCACGACTCGGAGCGGACAGACTAATTTTGCCAATTTTCCATTTGTCCATTCATATGTTTGGTATTTTTTTGAGCCGTAAACAGACGTAAACACAAACAGACGTAAACACAAACACACAGAAACCCTGTAGGTGAAATTATAAGAGGTAATTACTAATTAGTGTTAAATTGCCCTGCCATCTAACCATAGGCAGCCTAGCAAAATGTGTATTCACCTAAAAATGCATTAAACGTTTAACTGAAAATACAAGCGATTTATTTGTGTATTTGCTCATTATACATGCAGATTCCGATGTTTACGTCATATGAGCTACACAAATAAATCGCTTGATAGCAAATTGAGACGAACTTTATACGTATTTTTAAGCGTTTAATGCATTTTTAGGTGAATACACATTTTGCTGGGTTGCCTATGATCTAACCATCTTATGAATAAACGGCTACGGTGATAATTTTTTTATTTAGCTATACGTGTATAGCGATCTGCATATATACATAACCTTGCTTTCATCAGTTTAATAGTCAGAGAAATTGCCGCACCGCAGCAGTAAACGTAAACATGAGCATACAAAGCGCGTACAGAAGTTATGATCAAGTTTAATTAACAAGGGAGAAACTGGTTGGGTTTCACAAAGCACTATCAGTGCACCCGAGCCGATGGTGAGAAAATTTTCAAAGTGCGAACGGCATAGTAAAATCAAATTTTAAATTAAACATTTTTTTCAAAACCTGCCTGTCAGCAGTGAAAAATTGTCATGATTCCGCAATTAATTTACACGAGCAAATAAATTTCTCGTCACTTTACAATTTTCAATTTTAAAAAACGTGAATGGTGATATACCTATGCAGCCTGGCCTAATTCATTTTAATGTATTATATTGCAATTCGAATTTAAATTCATTATGATACGTGTCCGTGAAATCTACCACCTGGCCTGCTTTTGATATCACAAGAAATTTATTCGTCTGCAAATTCGTCAGGTTACCAGTGCTCGGCTTGCTTTAATTGAGTGCGGTGTCAACACAAGATGTTCAGTTATGTTCACAGTACAGTTTCGTCTGGGTTAGTCATCTGTGAAGCCATGGGGGGGTGGAGGGAGAAAATGGGGGGTTTGACCCCACCCACTTTTCTTCAGGCCAATTTTGTAATTCTACCAAAACAGTGGAGAAACTGGTGAGGTGGGGGAGGGGCGACACCTCTTAATGTTTTAACTGATCTATGACAAAATATACTGTGGCTTTCAGATTATACTGTAAAACTTGTCTAAAATGCATGAAATAGCATGAGGGCCAGGAATCCCAAGTCGTTCTGTGTATTCAACAATTAGACCCCTCCCCACTTGTTTGGGGCTGGTTACACCCATTGTTTGGATAACTGAATTCATACACTACAGGGTGTATAAAAAAAGGGAGACCTTTAGAAATCAACCATATTGTTAAAATTTGAATGCCTTTTCAATTGCATATATGCTGAACCCGTAGTGGCGTGAAATATTGATGGAGTGCATATATTAGCAAAAGGAGCCCTTTAGAAATTGAAATAACGTTTAAACACAAGATTGTCTGCTCCTGGGAACAATCTGCCATGCATACTGTACGTATATTGCATGTTACGCACTCGTGGGCTTAGCAAAGTGCTCCAGGATTCAAATTATAACAATGGTTGATTTCTAAAGGTTGTCCTTTTTCTAATACTGATGCACTCCATCAATATTTCACGCACCACGGTTCAGCATATGTGCAAATGAAAAGGCATTCAAATTTTAACAATATGGTCGATCTCTAAAGTAAACAGTATCTCCTTTTCTTATACACCCTGTAGTTTGATTCATAAATAGATAGATGAGATAGATAGATAGCTATATTAGTAACCAACGGTGAACTCAGTCAAGGTATTACAAAACACCTGCTTTCCATGAGTGCAATAAAAAAATTAAATAATGAAATAGCTAGGCTACTAATTTTAAATTCACCCAGAGTATTCACATTCTGCAACCTGGCTAAGGAAACTAAACTAAAGCTATTTCTTAGGTAGTCAGCCCTGTGTTGCCCTGTGTTGCCCTGTGTAGCTAGCCTGGGCGGAGCCATGCGCAGAAATGTGTCGCGCAGTCTGAGTGATCTAAATTGTTATGCTGCTACGTTATGCTGCTACGGTCCACAAATATGGGGCACACAGAGTCGGGAACTAGCCGATTTAAGTCACTTGCAGACCATGGCAGGTTTTTTTAAAATTTTCGCATACTATTCCCGTGTGAACACAGTTTCACTGAGAACCGCGCACAGCCGTTTTCTCGAGGCTAACGATTTAATTACTTAAAGTCCTGCAGAGAGCAATTTTTCATTAACAAGACTCCTTTGGAGTAAAAACAAGGCTGTTGAGTATGTTTTTCAATTTGTACTCTATTAGTACGTTCAACATTAATGGACAGCGAATCAGCGATAACTAACTTATCAGAGAGTTATCCGACAGGCGGCAGGGCTGCCAGGGAGCATTTGTAAATGGTTCGTCGTACGCACGGCAAATAACTGGCGTGTCGAAAATAGCTGTCAATGGGAAAATCTAGTTAGCTGCGCTGGAGTAAAGTTTTCGATGTCAAAAATATCAGTTTTGAAAGCACCCCCATGCCAGTTTTGAAGACACATATTGTTATTTTAGCACGGATATCGTATATGATCGCAATATTATTCCTACGATATGAAGTTTAGTATAAACTTGATAAGATAACTCATGTCAGTCAGCGCGCAAAGCCGGGACCACGTACGGCGGTACGGGTGTATCACAGCTGTGCGAACATTCCTGGTGTTTCCTACCGTATATATATAATTATGTATAATTGCCTAAAATAGAACCTACATAGTTTTAATAGCATAATTGGTTCCTGATTGTCGAAGCTATCGAAAAATTTCGGTCGTTTTTTCGCATAATGAAACAAACAGGTTTAATAAACCAACTCCATATCGGGTCAAACAGAGGCGGCATGTAGAGTCCCTATACGCTCCGCATTACGTAGTCAGTTTCCGCTTTGTGAATAAATATTGTTTTATATATAATCTATACTGATTTGATGCGCAAATCTGTTTTTTTGCTAGCACAGAGCCTTTGAATATTATTACTTGTACAGATGTAGCCCCGAAGCAAAATGAGTTATAGAAATGTTTAGACTAGCAGGAATATGCCTGTCAGAGCGACTGAAGCGCCGTCTTAGAACAAGAGTGCACTGTGTTGGCAGCTAATGCATTCTTTGTTTAATATAAAGTGCGTACCGAACCCACCGTGGACAATTGCGTTGGAATCTTTTGAATAGCGCATTTGTAAGTTTGAATTAGACCTTCCTTGCAGTGCGCGGCGGAGCGCATGTAAATTAGTAATCATTGCGCATCGATGCAAAAGTGCGCAAGGTGTTTGATAGAGCGGTGCTGTGGTAATCAGATATCTCGTTCGGAGAACGTCAATGCTCTACCGTTACAGTTTCCGGTAGAAGACAAAGCCGCACAGTTTTTTGGCGACCCGTGTGAAAATCCAAAGTGGGCTTCGGTTATCCGCCGTCCTTGTTGTCGATTCGTAGCCCGAGATCTGGAGTTTGTTCCACTCACAACAATGTACGAATGAATCGCTCCATTTCATGTGGTGTTCACAAACTCGTACTCGAATGAGGGGTACGGAAGGTAAGCTTACGAATTCTCGACATAACAGAGCGGCTTGTATATTTTTTTACACTCAAATATGCATCGACAACAACTGCGCATTTGTATATATGCTGTGCGCATTTCTGTATAAATTGCGCGCTTCTGAATAAATTACGCGTTCGTATAGAAATCGCATTGTAAATATATACATAGCGCGTGATTCGATATAAATTGCCACATAAACGTTCCATGATATCATAAAGTCGTAAACTAATATTAATAAATAAATCGAGTATATTAATACTAGTACAAAACAGACGTCATCGTAATTCCCGAGTGACAAAAAATTGGTACAAATACTATATTATAATTACATACTAGACCAAAAGCATGCAAAAGCTTGCTTATGCGCTTTAAACGATATTATATTTTTAAATTCACTTTCGGCTTCAGCACATTTAGATGGGTTCATATTTCGTATGGGCGACCGATGGGATTAATAGCATAAATATCAACAACTGTATCGTCGAGGATTTGAATTACAAACGCGTCGTTTGTTGACCTTTATTAAAAGTGCTATTTTTCATATATTATTGCAACATTTATGTGATATTGTTTAGGTGTATCAGCGCCCTTCGAGTTGCCAGTTGAAGTTGTGATTTTTTAGAACAGGCTTGTCAAAAATCAAAATTGTAATATCAACACAAATGTCCGCTTAATCAAGTCAATTATTTCTTATTATTATTATTTAAATTTCTCATTATTATTATTTAGAAAAATTATTTCTCAAGGTTACTGGCTGTGCCAAAGTTATTTAGACGCATGTTTGAGATATTCAGAAATATTGTATCTAAATGTTTTATTTTTTTTAATGTATCTAAATGTTCCCCTTTTAATGTAATGAAGTCAAATTACTTTGCTGAAAAATTAATATCTCAACTGAATCCAAGGTATCTGAATGATTTTATCATAAGTACCAGCGTGACGACTGCGCTATTTGTATGCCTGTTTGAGACAGTGTCGAAAATATATACCCTCAGAATATTTATGTCCCCTTCTGTATTTCTTATAGGAAAACAAGAGGCAGTGGGGAAATGGTCTGATATTACACTGAGCAGGTAAAACGTCATGTGTTGATATGATTTGTCATGAACAATATTGAACTGTAGCTTTTTAGAGATAGGTGCGTAGCGGGTGGCAGGATAATAGGCGATCAATATTACTTGAGGATCAACTATTCTTGTCTGTTGACATAAGGCTCGACTATATTCTAATCAAGTTATTACCCTACCCTAAACACGGATATTTCTGCTGACTTCCCACTTCGTTTTTTGGCTGCGAGTCAAGCTAAATCGCATAACAAATCGACATGTAAGCCGTGAAGGTCATTTGGAAGATTGCGTCAGGGGCTTGTTTACATTGCGCGAACGTGCGCACAATTATCATGATATGCGCGCATAGCTTAGATAGCTGATTAGAATTCCTGTGTTTAGCTTTGATTTTGACGCGATAATTTTATTTATACAGTGAAGGTCTAGTCTGTGAAATTTTTTATGTGCTCAAACAATGAATTTACTTTTTGGAAAACCAATGTCGATATACAAATTGCCATTCCGTCCATTCCATGAATATATTGAAATAGTGTTGACAAACATTGGATTTAGTAATACACATTTTATTTTCGTGCTAAGTATGGATTTTAATTTCGTTCCAGTGCTGGCAAGGACTAATGCTTGCCGCGTGATCTATTGTGTTAATTTTAACAATAACACGTTTTTTTTCGCCTCCAAAACACTTCGATCATCGCCTTAATAATCATGTGCTGTGCCTAAGGTATTTAAATGTTCACGGCAGAAATCGCTTACACGTGACTGAGAAATCAGGCTTGGCACATTAAAAGTTTGAACGGCGTGGGCCAGTGTAGGTACAGTAGTGACGATACTACTTTAATAACTACTAAGGCTACTACTGACTTCGCGACGAAAGGCCTAATTCGGTCGAATCGTCGAAGATCTATTTGCATTTTTCATGCAAATGAATCCCAAGTCCGCATTTTTCATATAAAAAAGCCGCTCGACGTTTCGAAACAGGCCTAAGCTCGCATTTTAGACATTTTAGTCGATGTAAAAATAACAAATTGACCGTTTTCACTTCACTGGCTCAGTGGCTGACACTCAATGTGGCTAGCATGGTTGCATGTAGATAAGAAATTAGTTTTAAACCCTAAGTGAAAGATTGATGTCATTATATGCGATCATAAAAGAAGGCGTACTCATCGTCATTGATATTTGATTGTCGTGATTTAATAATGTTCAAATAGGGACGTTCAATGCTGCAATAAACAAATAATAGCACAACTTGGCACACGCCTGAGGGAATGATGCTGACTGATGACTGCCATGACTCTGTTTAAAATGGCACAAGCATGCCTACTTTAATTATGGCTTACAATTTGTTGTGTCATATTTGCCTAAATTTCTGTCATGATTTCATTGCATGTGGGATGATTGGTTGTTGAAATGCGTTAAAACTATGCGTTAAAAAGATTAACTTTTTTATATTCTCAAGTTTTCTCAATCCATCTTTCCTGATTAGAAAATGGGAAATGATTCAAAGGATCTTCATTTTGAATGGAAATGACCATACAAGCTTTTGCCACGTATTGTCCCAGACCTTAAATATACCAATTCATTCTGTTGCATAGGCTATTCGTTGTCACCCGGTTAAAAATGAGGGTCCCTGATTGGACTGAGGCCAAGTTCACATGTCAAAACGTTTCATGTGTCGAACCTAACGAACTCAAATGAGTTTAGATTAATTATATTATGATATAGGCTATTAGGCGACGTTTGAAATAGATCTATAAGGCCTGGTTTATTCTAACTATCAAAGTTTGCATCGGTAAATTTTAAGTTTTGAAGGATTTGTAAGAATTGTTGGAGCAAACTTAAATACTGAGTCAGTTCCTTCAAATATTTCTTACAAATCCTTCAAAACTTGGAATTAGTTATGTAAGATTCCTATTGTGATCTACAATTCCTACATCACATGAGAACTATGATGCTAAGTGTAAAGCAGGTTTAAGACTTGGTACAAATCTTTGAGCTTTGGTAGGTCGCTTGATATTTTGTCTAACCTGACCCAGAAAGATTTAAATAATCAATCAAGTCTTCAAAGACTTAAAGTGCGAGTTTTAGCATATATCCCAAAGTGGATGATGATATGGTTTTTGGTGATAATATATGCACTTTGAAACAGCTTGTACTCTTCTATTTTTTTACACTTAATTAATCACACTTATCAACTTAGAGACTGCATACCACCGCCAGCAAATTAAATTATATATCGTACACAGTGGCGTAACGCTCATTAGGTAGGATTAGTTCAAAAACTAAGGGCCCCCAACAGTAGTTAGGGGCCCCCATCAGTAGTTAGGGGCCCCCATCAGCCACGGCCTATCGCCCAGAAAATTAGAAAACGTAAAAAATGCAGGTTAAGAATCAATGGGAAAATACAAAATTAACAATGCTAAATAATAAAGCCTCCATCGACGACGCGGTACAATGAGCTGTTTTTTTATTCCATCTCAAATAGAACAAAAGTTATTCTTAAAAGTTGTTATATGTGTTGGAGACTTACTGTCATTGTTATAGACACGGAATTTTCCAGAACATTCTATAAATTTTCATTATAAATATAAGATCTCAGTCAAACAATGCAACAGTCAACAGGGCCCCCACACCAAATATGCCTAAAGGCCCCCCCCCCCCCCTCCTCCATTACACCACCGATCGTACATCAATTATACAATGGACTAGATTCAGTTTACTCTGCCAGGCAAAGCAGGACAATTCACAAACGTTTGCTAATTTCTCATTTTAATCAATTTGCCTTGGGTATTAATGCCTATTAGCCCCACAAATTTTCGTATTAGACGTATTAATACGTGTGATATAGTTTTTTTTTAAGTTGTAACGCTGACAGACAGACACACATGAAAACATAACTTCCTCGCGGAGGTAATGATTACTACACACCAATACATCATTATGTGTAGAACTATTTCCGATTGAGTTCTACTTTGAACAGCAGTTATTTGACCTTGCACCAGCTTCAGCAGAGAGATTTAGCAGGGATAAGCTCGACGATAAGCTGCCCTGGTTGGTGTTTTGCGTGTTTCATCTGTTCTGAAAAAACGGATTAAAGACACTTCCATGTTTTGAATGAAAATTCTTTGATAGGAGGCATATTCGTCTCCTTCGCTCGAAATGTCATATTGTTTTTATTAGAAATTCCCAAGGCATTTTATTGAAGAATACTACCTGCACTGAACCCCAGCATTTGAGATATTTTTTTCAGGTAGTTCAGACACAAACCACGGTAGCCTATGTGAGCCTGTCACGCAGGCTAAAACCACGACGGCTTATTGTAGAATACTACCTACACTGGACCACCACGTTTGAGGTATCTTTTTCAGGTAGTTCAGACACAAACCACGGCAGCTTATTGCAGAATACTACCTACATTTGACCACCACGTTTGAGATATCTTTTTCAGGTAGCAACAAACCACGGCAGTTTAGTGTAGAATACTACCTACGCTGGACCACCACTTTTGAGATATCTTTTTCAGGTAGTTCAGATATAATCCTGGTAATTCATAGGCGTATGGGCCGGGGGGGACGGGCACGTGCTTCTCCAAAATTGTTACGGTCGGGCAAAAATCAATGCGAAATTCGGGCAAAACATAAAAAATTCCTGAAAAAATTTTTCTATCTTTGCGAAAATAACGTGATGTTAGGGAAAATGTTCTGAATTTTCGTATGTCTGTAGAAAGGTATTTGGTATGTTCGGAAAATTTTTTTTGGTATGTCCGGAAAAACATTTTTGGTGACCTCCCCCCCTCGCCCCCCGCTCGCCAACTAATTTGGGGAGAAATATTAATGTTCAGTTTGCCTGTT